GGGTGCCCGGGTGGCCGGTGAGGTGCGTGGCCGATTTCGATGCCGGGCCTGGGTGCCCGGGTGCCCGGGGGTGCCCGGGGGTGCCCAATGGCCCAATAGCCCAATGGCCCAGCAGCCCTATAGCCCTATAGCCCTATAGCCGTATAGCCGTATAGCCCTGTAGCCCTATAGCCCTATATCCCTATAGCCCTAATAGCCTTATATCTCTATAGCCCCATAGCCCACATAGCTCTATAGCCCCATAGCCCTATGGCCCTATAGGTCACAGTCCTATAGCCCTATAACCCTATAGCCCGATAGTCCTATAGCCCGATAGCCCTATAGCCCGATAGCCCTATAGCCCGCCCTATAGCCCGATAGCCCGATAGCCTTGTAGCCCGAGAGCCCTATAGCCCGATAGTCCATATAGCCCTATAGACCGGTGCCAGTGGTAGCATAATGAAAAAAACTGAGTGGGATTTTTCTCCGGTATCATTTATTGAAGGTTTTTGGATGGTTGTTTGGAAAGTTGTTTGGAAGGTTTTTGACAGGTTGTTTTGGAAGGTTTCTTGGAAGGTTTTTTGGACTGTATTGGGCGGTTTTGCTAAATGCTGGAAGGTTTTAGGAAGGTTTTAGGAAGGTGTTTGGAAGGTTTGTTTGACGGGTTTCTGGTAAAATATTTGGAAGGTTGTTCGACAAGCTTTTGGAAGGTTCTTGGACAAAACAAAAAACCTTCCGCAGGAAAGTCCCAAGATTCCCGGAATGCAGAAAAACGGCCGAAAACCTCCCTCAGAAAGGTTCAAGGATTCCTGGAACATTCGAACAACAAAAAACAACTTCCCGAAACCTTCCCCAGGAAGGTTTTTGGAAGGTGTTGTTGGCCAGCCCCTCCTGGAACTTTCCGGAGGAAGGTTTTCGGAAGGTTTTAGGATGGTTGTTTGGGAAGTTGTTTGGAGGTTGTGGAATGTGTTTTGGATGGTGTTTTGGAAGGTTGTCGGAAGGTTGTCTGGGAGGTGTCTGGAAGGTTGTTGGAAGGTGTTTGGGGAAACCTTCCTACAACCTTCCTGAAACCTTCCTCGGGAAGGTTCCAGGAGTCCTGGAACCTTCCAAACAACCTTCCTAAAACCTTCCTCAGAAAGGTTCTAGGATTCCTGGAATCGTCTGACAACCTTTCTAAAAACTTCCTCCAGAAGGCTTTTGGAAGGTGTTTGGGCGAACCCCTCCTGGAACCTTCCTGAGGAAGGTTTCAGGAAGGTTTCAGGAAGGTGTGTTGGAAGGTTGTTGGAATGTTGTTTTGGAAGGTGGTATTGGAATGCTGTTGGAAGATTGTTGGAATGTTTTTTGTTTATGACGGTTTGTTGAAAGGTTTTTGGAAGGTTATTTGCAAGGTTGTTTGGAAAATGTTCGGACGGTTTTTGGAATGCATTGGGCGGTTTCGCTAAATACGGGAAGGTTTTAGGAGGGTTTCAGGAAGGTGTTTCTGGGAGGTAGCTGGAAGGTGTTTGGAGGTTTTGGAAACCAACCGTTCTTAAACCTTCCTCAGGAAGGTTCGAGGAATCCTGGAACCTTCCAAGAAACCTTCCTGAAACCTTCCTCGGGAAGGTTTCAGGAGGGGTTGGCCGAACTGCCGCACCCAACTGGGTTCCGATGGACGAATTCGACGAGGACGGCTGGCATCCTGTTTCGCACGGCGTGCACACGGAGCCAGCGGCAGGGGCCTCGAGACACCGGTGACCAGGGTCACACCTGGACGAGGAAGAAACCGATCAGGCGGCACTACGAGGCCATAAGCAGCTCGGCCCCGAGAGAGACAGCGCCGACGGACACGGCAACTTCTTGCAAGACAACAACACAGAACAGTTCGTCGAGATGGACCGCCAGACCTACTCAGACGGCCATGCCTTCTTCGTGGACGCGAGCGTTTCCGATCAGGAGTGGATCTTCGCCCTCGAGTGGAACAGATTCGAGGACGCGTTCCTGGTCAACATGCAGGGCCGGAAGGAGATCAAGCTGGCCGACATGCCTGAGGAATTGAGAGGTAAGTTCGACAACCGCGGCGGCAGTCGAGACTATGAATGGCAATCCTGGCAGGACATCGACGAGGCGGAGCCTTTATCGATCGAGGAGAGTGCGAAGATGAAGGCAGCCGAGGGCACGGTTATCATCCCGATGCGCTGGGTCGATACCGACAAGAACGACGGCAAGTTTGACGAGAACGGACAAGCCGTTCCCCTGCCGGCAAAAAGGTCGCGTGGTGGTGGCAGGCTTCAGGGATCGCATGCTGGGAGTGTTCCGACGCGGTGCTCCGACGGCGTCGCGCCTTGCCGAGATGCTCCTGCTGAGCCTGGCGGGAGCCCTGGGCCCGGACCTCTCCGTGGGCGGCGTGCAGACCGCCTACTTCAACGGGCAGGACTGGCAGCACGAGGTTTACCTGGAGCGACCTCGAGGTGGGCTGCCAGGACTTGTACCTGGGCGGCTCCTACGGGCGAAGAAGGCAATCTACGGCTTCGCGGAGGCGGCGCGCCTGTTCTGGCTTGCCTTGCGGGGCGGCTTGCAGGAGGATGGCTGGGTTCAGTCACGGTCGAGCGAGCCCACCCGAACGTAGCTGAAGGACAGTGGAAGTGGAAGGAACTACCCTTCGCGTTTCGAGGCCGGGAGATCTCGAAAGACAAGCACGGCTACATTGTGAAGATGGTGAAGTAATCGACGTCCGTCAAGCCGATGAAGATCCTAGCTGCGCGGAGGAAGCAGCTCCAAGCAGACCCGGATGCCGCAGAGGCGGCGGAGCTGCTGCTCGTGTCGGGCGAGATCGGCTGTCTGGCAAAGCAATGCCGACTGGATCTGGCGTTGCCTGCCTGGCGAGTTGAAGCGAGCTCGAGCGGCACCATGTGCGACAGACCTGGTTAAGGCGAACCTTGCCGTGGCCGAGGCGAAGAGGGGCGCCGACGTCTCGCTGGAGTACCCGACGGGCCTGAGGCTAGCTACGGCGGCAGTGGGAGCCGCCGTGGATGCAGGACACGCGGACGGTCCCGAGCACGACGACATCGAGCGCTACAAGAGTTACGGAGGACACGCGGTGCTGCTGAGTGCGGAAAGCACTATTCAAGGTCATCCTGCCCCTGTGGCGGTGCTGGACTGGAAGAGTGGCATGACCCAGCGAGTGTGTGGGCCTTCGCTCGCGGCGGAGGCTAGTCACCTGGCGGACGCAATGAACGCAGTAGATTGGGCAACTATGCTGCTGCGTGAAACTATGAGCGTACCCGTGGAATTGCGCAACTGGCAAACGAAGGTGGCCAAGCTCCCACGTTTCTGGGCTACCGACGCCAAGTTAGTATACGATCATCTTCACCAAGGAGGGCTCGGCCAAGAGAAAGGACAAGCGGATGGCAATAGAAGGTGCGCTACTACGACAAGTACTACGACGCTATGGAACCCACTTGCGGCGGATCGACGGCACACAGAACATAGCAGACGAGCTGACGAAACTGGGCATCGACAAGATCAATCCGTTCAATGTACTCTGTGAGGTGAAGTGGTCCCTCGTGCAGGACCCGGCGGTGGCGGCACTCAGGATGAAGAAGAGCGGCCAGCAGGCTACGAGGAAAGCCGCCATGCACGCTACCGAGACGGAAAGGGAGCAGCAGGAGAAGCTCGCGAGAGCGAGGGAGATGCAAAAGCAAGACGACACGTGAGTGACGGATTGGTTCTCAGCGTCCCAAACTCCAGGGTGTGAAGATTTCAGCGGCAGATTGGAGATTAGCACGCCTCGCCTCATCCTTCCCTCCCTGCTGCTGTCTGCTGTCTGGGCTCGAGCCTGGGGCCCCAAGTCTCACCGCGACGGGCGGCCTGCGCCCAGAGATAGGCAGAAGCCTGCGGACTGTGTGCGCACGGCAGGAGCAACACGGGACTGCGCCCACTCTTCAAGAGCTTCGAGAGGAGTTCAAAACAGCCACGGGAGGGGCACGGAAGGGCACCACAAGAGGGAAACAAATGCCTCCAAGAGCTAATGGAACATGTCCGCTGGGCCTCTGGGCGGAGGTGATTTAGGGCGTTTTCTTTCTGAGCCCCCCCTCCTCACTTGACCAGCCACCAGCGAAGGGCCGTGAACACCCCCCGCCATCCCCGTCAAAACTTTTTCCGACGGCGGCGAGGCAGAATTGGGTGCACCAGCGCATGAGCGGGCACTCCGCGATCACATTGCATTGCTTTTGACATGGGCAGCGGGTGTGGGTATACTTGTCAGACGTGCGCTCTCCCAATCAAAAACCGATGCGACTCTAGTGTGGCTACACGCGCCGTGCACAATGCTGACCACCCCACCACCATTGCGCGTTGGGTCTGGACAGCGATGGTGAGGAGTGTCGGCATGTTCCCCGATGCGTGCTCACACGCACACTGGCGCAGCCTGAACTCTGCGAGCATCGCGTACGAGCACGCGGCACGATTGGCGCACATGCCGCATCTGGCGCACCAGGCGCGCCTGGCACGCATGGGTCGCTGGGTCACCTGGTGCACCTGATGCGCGCGGAGCGCCTAGCATGCGTGACGAACCTCGCGAGCGTCGCACACTCGTTGTATTCGTTCGCCTGCATACGCTGAGCCTGAGGTGCTGGGAGGAAGAAATGGGAGTGAGCGAGACAGCATGTGGCTTCGTATATGGCTGCGCCAAGACCCTAATGTGTGGTTGTATTACCTGCGGTGCGCTCGAAAACGAACAACTTTGGGGATTCGAGAAATGGTGCCCTCGAATGGCCACCCCGACCCGGAAAGTCAACACCGACCGATGTTGGTCTGTGCTGTGGCCTGATGCTTCTAGTAAGGCCGAGAAGACCACGGGGTCAACAAGTGGACCTCATGAAATAATGTGGCTTGCGCCCTGGCCTGGGACACCTACTTGTCTATACTCTTAAATGTCGGCCTTCGCTCTCTCTCTCTCTCTCTCTTTCTCTCTTTTTCTCTCTTTCTCTCTCTCGCCATCTCTCTCCAGACCTCCGCTTGAGCCCCAGACTGCGCTGCAGCTCCTCATCGAAATAGTAAAGGCCGCTGCGGTACCTCGCGCGCGCCCGCGGTGCGGCACTCGGGTCCCACATCCGAAATCATCGCCCTCCGTCGACTCCTGGCCCGCTCTGGGTCAGGAATGAAGAAGAGACAACCACAACTGCTGGGCTGAGGGAGCCGCCCCTGGCGCCTTCCGAGGGACGATCACTCCCTCCCAGCTGTGATGACCTTCGCGCGGCGCCCGTTTTCGGATGCCGCGTGCATCATCACCGCTAGTGGGTCGAGATCGGCTATGGAGGGGCACCACGGGAGGTTTCCTTGGCCAATCGGTTGCAACTGTCTCTTGTTCGCCCATGGCTCGACGGAAGGTGCAAGATGCCAGGACCAGGAATCGACCTAAGCAGGGATTTTCGTTTTCGTTGAGTTTGTTTTCCCTCGTTTTGTCTTCGGCTCGGTGCTGCAAGACGACCATCGAAACGAAAACGGTCCACGAAATCGCTAAGACACCGTTTAGGTCGACCCCTGGCTAGGACCGCGCCGAAACACGCGTCGGGCGCGCGTGCGGCCGTGCACGCTTGCGCCCAGCAGTTGCAGCATGGCCACTCGAGCGTGTCAGATGAACGGCCTCCCTCGCCGACGGCCCTGGTGCCCAATGCAGAGGCCTCGAAACGAAGAACGTAAACATACGGTAGGGGCTCGACCACAAGGAACCTGTCACAAGAAACCCAACCCTGAGACCCCAGGACGCCCATTGATGTTTGGCGCGGAAGCGTCACGCTCTCCATACCAGAACCATCGAAACCAAAGAAACCCAGGGCACCCTGGAGGCAAGCAGGGTGTTTCTTGGCATGGGCTTCCACTGCAAACATACATGCTCGGATGCCCACGTGCATTTCTCAGGTCGGCACTTTTTTGACGTTGCCCAGACGTGAATCGCTAGTTTGACGCGTTCGGATGCCCGAGCAAACCCGCCGAGTTAGCGGAGCGAGAAACCAATAAACCTGGCGGGTGCAGCGGGCAAAGAGGGGCAAACAAGAACAAACACGAAGTGCCTGAGAACTCCCGGCTTCCTATTTCTCTGGAACAGCGGACGTACGTATACATTTAGAACTGCGAGAAATGTTCGGCCATCGTGCCGCTCCGTCCTGTGACCGTGCCATGCTGTGCTTGCGGTCCAGAATTCGAGAAAATGGCGTGCCATGATAAACCTGCGTGCCATGTCTGTGTTCTAGAATGCGCAAACATGCGCTGTGCCGTCCCGTGCCTGCAGTCTGGGCCCACTTTCGAACTTATGACAAACTGTGCCGTGCCGTGCCTGCGTGCCATGCCAGCGCTCTCGAATGTGAACTATGTGCTGTGTCTTGCTGCGCCTGCGTGCTGTATAATGCGTGTGTTCTAGAATGCGGAGATGTGCTGTACCAAGCGGTGCCTGCGTGCCGTTCCGCTTCTGCGTTCTCGAATGCGACAACGTGCCGTGCCGTGCATGCGCGCCGAACCTGCGCTCTAGAATGCGAAAACATGGTGCAATGCCGTGCCGTGCCTGCGTTTTAGAATGTGCAAAACAAGTGCCGTGCCGTGCCGTGCTGTGCCTGCGTTCGAACATGCAAAACAATGATCGTGCTGTGGCGAGCCATGCCGTGCCTGCGTTCAGGAATGCGCATGATGTGAGGTGGCTTGCCGACCGTGTGTGTCATCCTGCGCTGACGTTATGTACTATATGCCCGTGTGACTGTGCAGCTCTGTGATAATCGAGCCCAGATGCGAAGAGCAGAAGGGGCCTCTCCGAAATCAGGGATGCTCTCAACCCCCAGGGCCTGGAGACCGCCCCAATGGGGTGGAAAAATACTGGGTCGGTGAAGCGCGCTGCATCGCTGATACATCACCGATGCATCGGCGACGCATCCGTGACGTCGGCGATGCATCGGCGACGTCGGCATGGAAGTCATCGGGTTCCACATCGAACCGCATCGCCGATACATCGGCGATGCGGTGCGATCCACCAGCCCCATTTACTTCGGGCCCTGGAATGGTCGCTCCACTGATGGGCCCGTCGCCCTTCCTAAAAACAACAACAGGCGGCATAGACATCATCTGCTGGAGATCCGCACTGATTTCTTGGATCGGCACCCCCCTTTGCGGGCGTAACGCACCATGGGTGGCGCCGGAGGAGCCGCAAGAGGTAGTTCCGCGCCGATCCGATCGATCCGCACGGACCTTCGAACATAGATGCTTACGGTCGGCGTTCGAAAGATACCGTGCAACATCGCTTTCCGAAAGGCACGCAAGCCCTGTGAGGCGGTCCCCTCGCGAGTGCCCTTTTCCGCGCACGCTGTCCCCTTGCGAGGGCCTCGTCTGCGCACGTCGGTGCACGCTATCCCCATGGTGGGACACAGCGTGTAACAAGCGGGCAAGCGGCGCACATCGCACGCGAACCCTACAATGCCAACAATATTTTCGGTGGCAACTCATCGGAACCTCCAGTACCATCTTGTCGTCCCTTGCGAATCGGTTCGAATCCACGCTAATCGGCACTAAATCGACGCGCGTCGACGCTACATCGGCGCGGTCCCATTGATTACCATACGCGCCCAACCATACGCTTCGCATAAGGCGAAGCTAATATCAAATGTTGTAGTACCGTAGTAGCGATAGTCCCCGAAGTCGGGGATCGTAGCGGGAGCGACGGGCCATGTCAAGCGAATATGTTTCGATCCCAATGGCAAATAGTGCGCCTGTACAGCAAAACGCCATATTACACAAGGTAGGCAACGGCAGGCGGCCGTAACAAGGAAGGCTGACCCGCACGCACGTCCCCTTGCAAGCAAGTTGCCGCGAAAACAAGTTACCTTGCAGATGACTGCTCCTCAGGCGGCTCATACGATCTTGTCTGGCCAGTCCTTTTTTGGAATGTGTCGTTTTAAGTCATGTTTGAAGCATTGCGTTCCTCCCGTGGCCTTTAAGAGCATGTCTCTGTCGATGCTCCCTTTGGTGTGGCGGTCCGCGATCATGTCGCGAGTGTCACACCACTGCACACAATGCACGATACCTCGCTCCATCATCTGTCGTATCCAACTGATGTGTCCCAAAAGTGTACACCCAGTCGGTTTCTTCGGGTCTTTGCTTCTTTGCTTGACAAGGACTTGACGATATGTTCTGCATCGATGGTCAAAGTGACCTCAATGCTCAGGCCGCCCATCTCGAGTACATCCTTCACTTGAATGGGTGTCAGCGGCCCTGCGTGGAGTTCGCGCAGGGTGATGACCGTGGGATAGCAGTCCTCCAAATTGTGGGTCGTTGCAAGACTTTCCGCTGAATAGCTCGAGCGAACCTGCAAGCGATGAGACTTGCAGTGCGCGTCGACAAGATGGACGGCGGGCTTTCCAGCATAGGTGCGTCCACGCCGTGGCAGGCCTGCCCCGGAAATACCATTGCTTGTTGACCTCGCCCTCGGCATCTCTGCTGGGGCGTCGGTAGCCGGAGTCGCTGCGCAGGTCAACCTCGCCCGCGCCCGTTGGAGTCATCGCTTGGTAGAAGGTCTTCTTCGCTCAGGCCTGCAACTTCCTGTTGATCGCGTTCAGTCGTCGCCCTTGCATGTCGGTCGGTTCTTGGGCGCGCTGTAGAGATGCAGCATATGCCATTTACCGCAACTGTGTGATCAAGGCGTAAGCCAGGGCACCTCTGAGGCTGACAAACATGTCCGTAACCATCTCCGACGCCTCGGCGTCAGCGTCTGCGCCAGTGAGCCCATGATGTTGGATAGGACGGAGCTGTTTTGCATTCGTCTTGATCAAGTGTAACATTACGGTCCTCATCCTTCGTGTACCTCGCAGCGCAGCTGAAATGTGTTTCTGCTGAGTTTGCACATGCCAAACATATCCTCAACGCTCTTGACGCACATGTCGATGGTGTCCTCAGTGCCGGTCATGTTAATGTCATCAACGTGCTTGGCTGTGAACAGGCGAGAGCTTGTCTCGAACTCCTCGTCGTAAGACGTGGTCTGAGACCGAAACCTCTCGCGGTCTTCCTCGGCTTTCGTGGCAAAGCTCTTGCGGCGCCCATGGTGCTGGTGCCTGGTTTGAGGCGCTGCACGGCAGTGCTTCGACTCATCGTCGTGCTCAAATCCTGGAAAGGGTCTGAGAGCGCAGATGCTGCCACGGGCGGCGCTGCAAAGCGCGCCACACGTTCCTTTTCACCGGTTGCTTCAGCAAGTTCCTGATAGGTTGGTCCTTTCAGGCACGCCATGCTGATGCCAAGGGAAGCAGTGGCCCACTTCCTCTTACACGCTGCCGCGCTATCGAGTAATCTCCGACTCGACCGCCGCGCCGTTTCTGAGAAAGTCCCCGCGTCGAAGGCTTCGAGGTCCACGACCCCCCGAAATACCGAGCGTAGTCTGATGCTGCGCTCCATCTCGCCTTTCTCGTTCCCGGCGAATTTCCATGAGTCTGCGCATCTCGAAGTCCTGATGTTTGACGCTTTTGCTATATCTTCTATTTTGAAGCACTGGTTGTCAAACCATGCCTTGAGTTCAGTATGCAGGGCTTCAGATACCATGACTGGATTCGCCTGGATTTCGGAGTTCGCGAGAAGGTCGCCCTCCTTGACGACTGCAGCTCGTTTAGCTGCAGCGGCCAAATATACTCGCATAGTGGCCGCGCGGTCGCAATAAGGTATTCGGCGCGTTGCTCGGATAGAACCACTTGACATGTCTGCGGCGAAACGCAGCTCTACCTTTTGTCCGTGCTCGCCAGGGTCCAATCAACAACTGTCGTCTTCGCCCGTGGAACACTGCGGGGCATGATCTGTCTTCATGTCTATATCGCACGTGGGCTACCCCACGTCGGCAGGTGCACCCGCTGTTCGTCTGGCGCTGTGACCAGCGCACTGTTGTAGAGGGGGTAAAATGATCATCTGCGTGGGTAAAATGTAGAGGTCGTCGATTGGCGTTGCCTCCGGTAGTTCCCCTTCATCTTGCAGTTCTGCGCGCCACACCTCCACAATCTGTGCCCCGAGGTCCGCTTCTGATTCCTCATCAATGGTGGGAAGCCGTCAATCTT